TTACACTGCTAAATTAGGGACGGCTAGCGCAGATAGCCTTCATGTAGCTTTGTGCAAAATTCAAAAAACAAACAAATATCTGCAGTTGTTGTTATATACCCTCTTTTTCAACTCATTCACAATGCCTTATTTAAGTAACTTCTGCCCTCTGGAATAGTGGTCCCAAAAATAATTATTAATTCACAACTCAAAGATAACTTTGATTAATTATAAAATAGCTGTAGGCAGCTTACACATTTAATTCTATTTATGGGACCAGACCACAGTGTGCACCTCGTGACATTTTTCAGTCATAAATTCAAAATTTAACTAAGCAACTTTATCCTCAATGTATGTAAAGAAAAAGTGATATGAAAATGTAGTTTATAATTTAAATTTTTATATTATTTAAGTTTTAACTTCTTAATTCCAACATGTAATATATAAATAAATCTCGAACTTAATATTTCTGTGTCACCTGGAACACCTGAGCTTCAAATTCTCCATTTCAGAATAGTCTAACCTTCTGCAGTTTCCTGCAAATTAGAAACACAAACTATACATAATTACAAGAAAACACCTAAAATTTGAATCTTGTACCTTCTTCATTTGTGTGATATTGATAAATTTATCAAATTCGCCAGAGAAGTCCCTCCCTTCTTTCTCTGACTTTCAAGGTTGTTTACTGATCAACTTTATGTGGCTGATGGTCATGTTTGTAATCAATAGAAAGACCAGGTCCTCTTTTACATTATGTTTACACTGGTCATTTTGAATTTGGTGAGGAGAATATTCACTTCATAAAAATGTCTTATTTTGTGATCATGATTTTGCTACTCTGAATGGCTAACAGAATTTTTTTTTAACCTATTTAAATTAAAAGCTGAATCAATTATAGTACTTCTGAGAGATTCTGTTTTAGTACCTTATTTACTTTCTGTGTTCTGAGATGCGCATTTCAAAGCTACATGAAGTTTTTTTTGGGCATCTAGGCGTGAGGGACTCAATGAGGCATAGGGGAGAAAAGCAGATATTTCTATTTGAGTGCAAACAGCTCAAACATATGGGTATTAGAAATACTTGTTTTTTGTATATCTTTTTATTTATTGTTATATATAGCTTGTAACAAAAATAACTAAAATGTAAAAATGAAAAATATTTCAGCTTAGTTTTCCAAAATTAAGTAAAATAAAATGTCTAGAATTACACTAACTTGAATGCGTCTGTGAAATATATAAATAGAACATGTTAGCTTTATGGGAAACAGCTAATGGGCTCCAACTATGATTTAGTGCTTTTTATGCAAGGATTACTATTCAAGTTGTACAAGTATGGCAGTAAAAATCATAAAATTAAAAGAAAACAGATGTAGAAAGATTAACAGTTGAAAGTGTTAAGAGAAGTAATTTGGGAATTTCTGATTGATATAGCAGTCAATGTATGGGAAAAATTGTATTATTTCATATTATTAAATTTTTCATTTCATAGAACATTGATTTCTCTGTAGTTAGTGTTAAGATAGATAAAATAAGAGATGAAATATAGTTTTAACAAAAAACTTTTGACATTCATTTAGGAGTCCTATAGTTTTTACTCTTAGCATGAAAATCATTTTTCACTCAAACAGACTCAGTAATGGCTTGGAACTTCACTGATAAGCCTTAAGTAGTGATTCTTTATTAAAAATTAGTTTTTCTTGTTTTTTATAAGTATGGCAGACTTGTAAGGTTTATTAAAAACTTGCCAAATGTTGTTAAGATAGACATAGTAAATTCAGAGTTATAGTATGTGTAGTTTCACAGTACCCAGGTTGGTCAAATTGACCAACCTTGTTCTTATAGGGCTATAGGATTGTCATTTGTAACCATAATTTTTTAATGTGTGTAGATAATCCCAAATTATGGTGATAATTTTTAATCACATTAAAACAGCATGGTTCATCAATGCATCATTACACTTAATGTTTCTATATCCTGTGTTATGAAGCATTTTACTAATAAGTGCCAAGTTTGTACTCACCAAGAGCTTTAAGGCATCTTGGATGCTGGATTTCACCAAGAATTTTTGTGTAATTTCTTTATAAATAGTATACTGCAGATTTAGTAATAACAACAAAACTTTATTTGTCTGCTTTACTTGGACATCGTAAAAGTTGTACGGACAACTTAGGTTACTTACATGCTCTGTCTTCAGGTCCTGATGAAAGAGCCTACAAATATTATCCTGGATGCCATCAAAATGAGTTTCCAAAGCAATATTTTGGACTTGTTTTAAAAGTCAATTATGGACTATTGAGAGCCCAAAGAAAACACCTTACCTTTCATATGTTCACAACTTTTGACAGATATACGCATGGTTTACTTTATTATGATGTACAAATGAAAAGTATAGAAATGTGCTAGGTTAAAATAGTTATTAAAAATATTTATCAGACCATTGCTAGAAAATAAATATTTGTACGGAAATAAGGAGTTTGTTATTATTATTTCATATATTTGTTGATGATAATATGAAATATCATTCATCTCTGCAACCATAAAATGCAAAAGACCAGATATTCAAGTCATATAGATGCTACTTCTAAGTATATATATATCAATAAGTATATATATATATATATATCAAGTATAAAATTAAATGTGTTCCAATCCTACAGTATTCACCCCGATAACGAAAAGGTTCCAGTGAACAAAGAAAACCTACTTTTAAGAGACTGTGTTGTCAAGAATACAGACTTTGTGGAAGGAATTGTTGTTTATGCAGGTTAGTGAAATGTTTTTGTTTTTTATCTGTATGTAATAAATTGAAAAAACTGTATTTTTTTGTGGAGATGTTTGTATGTATATACGTATAAGATCAGTTAAGTCTTGCAAAGAGTGGAGAGAGGTATGTGGACATTTGTTTGCTTTTGTTTAGTTATTGTGCACTAGAAGACAGTAGCTACCAATCAGTATTTGTATTTTTTGACAAATAAACAACATTTCAACTTTAAAAACCTAAATGAAAAGTCCATGTTGAAATTAAAAATAGATACAAATAAAAAAATAAATAAATGTTTTAGACATTAGTTATGCATGTAAGTGTGTGATCTATGTCTGAGAGGTTTAATATTTTTACTCAAGCAAAAGAAATGCCATTTATTTTATTATTAACAGTGCTTTAACCAATAATTCAAAGCACATCTAGAATTGGCCAGTTGAGAACTTATCAATTTCCAAGCTGTCAGTGATATTTTGATACAGTATTTGAGACATATTAGATTTTTAGTACAATTTTTTTCAATCATTTATTGTATGAAAGTTTAGAATATGTATTCTATTGCCTGAAAAGGATAATATCTTACTGTTGATCAAAAATGGCTCTAACTAGGCATATATGTGACAATACCCATTCAATGCTGGAAAGAGAAAGTAATTTTTGTTTTTGTATGTGCATATATGCGTGCTATGTATAATACTGAGAGAGAGAGAGAGATATATTATTCCTATGTCATGTATCTGTGCAGATAAAGAAAGGAAAGTTAGAAAACTGGCATTTCTACTAAATAATAGTTTGCCATACACTTGTTTATTCATATACTTGTAAATTTATTTTGTAACATTCCAGGTCATGAAACTAAGGCTATGTTAAACAATGGAGGACCAAGGTACAAACGCAGCAAACTGGAGAGGATTATGAATCGTGATATTATATGGTGCATAGTTATTTTGGTTGTTTTGTGCTTTGTGGGAGCAACTGGTAAGTTTAGTGTTTTCAAAGTACAAAATATGTTTTACAAATAAAGTTTTATCGTGTTATATGGAATTAGAATTATTTGTTCATTTCATTGCCGCTCAGATCTCGGGTTTTATGTTTAACCCTGGAAACATACACTTAATTTTATAACATTTCAGAATGTGTGAGGCTTCTAGGAACTCGGAAATAATAACTTTAACTTTGATTTTAAAAAATGTATTTATTTTATTTATTTATTTAATTTATTTATGGTATTTTGCAATGTCCAATTTGACCTTTGACTGTGTTTGTGGTACAATTTCCATATTTAGATACCTCCAAAGTAGTCCTCACTACATTCACTGCTGTTTAACCCATTATCAGTTTTTAATTAAGTAAACTGTCTCTCCTTAATAATCCAGCATTATATTCTATCAATTCTCAAGATTGATTATGAAACGTGATATAAATATAACTAGAAAAGTAAATATCTCTACTTTCTGTCCCTTCACCTTCATATATAGGGCTATCAAGAACTTATTGGAGAAAACATACTGTTCATGTGTCACAATACTCCACTCAACTGAAAATGCACAAGCACTTGCCTAAAACATTGGGAATGCATCACTCAAGTAAACAAGTGTTGGGGTTCTGAGTGCTATGTGTATGCCATCCAGGTTTAATGCTTAGAATTTTTCTCTAACTATATATTACAAACAAAAGTACCCATCCCCAGTGACAGGAAAAGTTTAAGTTACTCTATCAATTTAAATTATTTCATGGACTTTAAAGAATATTGTGTTGCACTCTCTGTTTCACTTAGAGCCAAAGCTGTGAGCTACTTATACTGCTCACCATGAAAAGTAATTGTTGAGTATTTCAGTCATGCTTAGAGCCGCTCAACAATAACATATAGTAAATCTATATTTTTATTCTGTAAGTTACATCACATTTTGAAAGGTGAATGATAATTTGATTAATTCTTAACAATTTAGTGTAAAAATTTGGCATCAACATTGGCATCATGCCTGTTCTCCTGTCATTTAAAATGTGAATGTTGAGATTTGCCTGCATGCGCAGCTTTTCAAATGCATCATGGGAAGCAGCTGCCGTAAACGGCAGACAGACAAACGCTCCGACAGACACAACAGTTTGTAATATATATATAAGATAATGATTTTAATCATTCACTATGAAATGAATAAAAAGTTTTGGTTTATTTTATCTGTCATAGTTTGAGGTTTCATTCTTTTTTATCAAGGTTTTGTTGGTAAGGTTAAGAAGCTGCTGTCAAATAATTACAGGTATAGAAGAATTCTAATACCTTTCTGTTTTAAATCTGAACCTTGAAGTTTTTTTAAATAATGACATTCAAAGCATAAGCATGCTATTATGTTCTTACATAAGATTTTGTAAGTTTTATTTAAAATATCTTCAATAAATAACTTGTACTAAATTTGGACATTCTAATAATTTATGGAAGGAGTTAGAATGAAACTTTGAAGATTTTACACAAGAATCACGTATAAGTTGTTTTATTTCATTTTTATTGAAAAGTGGGTAAACCTTATAACTATATTAACAAAGTAAACTTTATAATTAATTCCATGATGTGTTCATGGAAAGGTTACCTTTAATAAATACATTGTAGAGTTAGCTACAAAGTTTATTTTTTTCCCAAAATTAACAGGCTTGGCATGGCCAGGTGGTTAGTGCACTTGATTCACAATCTGAGGGTCGCGGGTTCAAATCCTTCCTACCAAACATGCTCGCCCTTTCAACTGTGGGGGTATTATAATATGATGGTCAATCCCACTATTCATTGGTAAAAGAATAGCCCAAGAGTTGGCGGTGGGTGGTGATGATTAGCTGCCTTCCTTCTAGTCTTTCATTGCTAAATTATGGACAGCTAGCACAGATAGCCCTTGTGTAGCTTTGCACGAAATTCAAAACAAAACAAACCCAAAATTAACAAATAACTCTTAAACGTTATTTATACCTAAATATTTTTTGTTTGAGGCATTAATGGAATTGATCTGATTTTTAACCCTTAATTGTTGCAAATGTGGTTACATGATAAATTTATTGTATGCAGTGTCTAGAAATATCAGTGTGTAAAGGTAAGTGTGCAGCATTAGTTAAAATTATCTCAGTACTCAGAGCATTTTAACACGTTAAATTCTAAATGTTTGGAAGAGATAAACAGTGATGATATCAATATATTTTGTTATATTTTAACAGAGTAAATGTAAACGCTTTTAAAAGCTTAGTCTACATGTATTTTAAAATGTTTAAGTGTTGCTCATTTGTTTTTGTTGAATATGGAATTTTATCTTATAGGTTTGTAGAAATAGCTAAGTATATGCATTTTAAAAAAGTTTTGTTTTCTATGCTTTAATCAAATTTAATTTTTTTTTATTTATCGTGTTGAAAATTTTTTAATAGAATGTGCAGTTCAAAATGCTTGGTAAAAGCAATATGTTATTTGTAAAAATATTTGGGCTTATTTTGCATTTGTGGTGCTAAATTAAGACATACTGCATAAGTTAAATTGGAAATTAATATTAAAAGCAGTATTTAATATACAGGCGTGCTTCTTTTTTTTGTTAAAACTTTTGAAACTTGGTTTGTTTTTGTTTGTAGAATGATACAAGTTTTTCTTCATCTTAATGCCATCATATAACTGGTTTTTCTACTTGTAGGGAGTGGTTTGTGGTTGTCATCATATGAACAGAGGGAAAACATATATTTCATTCCGTATGAGCATAAGTATCGATTCAACCCAACAGTTGATGGTGTTATTCAGTTTTGGACTTTTGTAATAATTCTTCAGGTAAGGATGTCTACAACTGAACAATTATAATGAAAATGATTATTGAAAAATTATTTTTAAATTTGTTATGGAACATGAAGTTTATACCGTATCACATATGAAAGTTAATTGACTCAAAGCAATATACTGATTCTTTTTACTGTTCATCTATTTTCGATTAATGTATATGTGAACAGTACATAAGCTTAGCACACAGACTGATAAATGACCAATAATATTTGAAGCTCCAAATCAAGTAGTGTCCACATAGAAAATATTTTAAGGGATTTCCATAAATACTTTTTTTCTGTACTCAATCAAAAAATAATAATTTACAATCGTTTGACATGATCTGCCTTATAATAAAAAAGAAATCAAAGTCTAAACAGTGACAGTAGCACTGTGATAGGGGTAATTACACTGAATAGTTAGTATTGGCCCTGGATGATACCCAATAGAGTGATACGAGTGCAACTTTGTTTTTGCTGATCAGTATTTTTACTGTTCATCGGTGTTTTATGTTATTTTAACATCTATGTTCTTTCTTCAGTAGGTAAATATAAATAGGAATGTAAGTAATTTATAAAAATAAAACAAGTTAAAACTTATTGGATATATAAAGTGAAACTTTCTGATCAATAATATTTTAAAAAATCAGTTTTATTTTTTCTTTCATATTTTCCAATGGTTACTTTAATTGTAACAAAGATATTGTATGAATAGATGATGTAATGAGTGTGCTGTTTCTAGAACAACACAGACACAACAGTTATAGTTTTATTGAAAAAATAACGCGTACAGGTACACAATAAAGAAACAGAAATGCTAAAATGAAAAGAAGTACTTTTAAAATAAAAATTCAGAACACAGTTTCCAAAAATTCACAATCTAAACCAAATTATATAATCTTTTTAAGTACAAACTACATATTATTTAGAAAGTGTGAACCAGATTTCATACAATAAGGTTAAGCATTCGAAGTGTGAGAACAAAACAAAAGAGGTGTTATGGTGGTGTTGCCCTGCCACCTGGTTTTATTGAAAATTTTACCGAGTAAAATATTTTGTGGTGTATCATAAGCTCTAGTGGGTAAATCACATTACCATATATTACCGAGTTGTTTTTTAAACCAGATAAATAATTTTTAAATACTCTGTACATCCTAAAATACAGAATACAGTTTTTTTTTCCTGTAAATATGTCAAAATATTTTATTGTTTGCTCCAGTAAAGTTTTATTTATGATGTTTAAAACAAAAAATATTAATAACAATTTATCCCATCTTTTATACTTCTCAGTTTCTAATCACTTAAAACACCCAGGTAAGTTCTCTCTAATTAGGAATGTTAGTTCACTCATCAAGTTTATTATTAAATATTCATATTAAATAGAAACGTAAAATCCAATTTTAGGACTTATTGTAAACATGAATTTATCCCATCTTTTATACTTCTCAGTTTCTAATCACTTAAAAAAGGTTTTTTTTAATGTGTTAAAATAATTATTTTGCCAGTCTGTAATGAGAATTTGAACTATATATTGCTTTTCAAACATTTTCAAATCTTAAATAATTTATCATTTCTTTTCCTGTATTTTTTTAAGCTTTTATTCTTTAACACAAATTCTGATTGTTGTGGTTATGAAAGGTGTTATAAATGCAGGAAAAGAAATAGAGAAATATTATTTAAGATTCACATATGCTAAAACAAAACAAAAAATCTTATATAAATTTTTAACATGTAGGTGATGATTCCTATATCATTGTATGTTACAATTGAACTGATCAAATTGGGCCAAGTGTTTCACATCCATCATGACGTTGAATTATATGATGAACATTCTAATAAACGAGTAGAGTGTCGAGCACTCAACATTACAGAAGAACTAGGCCAGTTGCAGTTCGTGTTTTCTGATAAAACAGGAACTCTTACAGAAAACAACATGGTCTTTCGACGATGCACAATTGGGGGTGTTGACTACAACCATCATACTCCTACTGTTGAAGATGGTATGATTTTCATTATAATAGATGTTATGTTTTTTTACATGAAGTGAGATTGGTTATCTTGTGCTTTTACAAGAATTTTGCAGATATTTTATGTTGTGTATGTAATGAAATAATTTTGTAATTAAAATATATCAATTTTTGACATTATTTACAGATTAAATATTCATGTACCAAGTAAGAAGTGAATAATTATATACTTTTTGAAAAGGAGTCAAACATTTGCTTGTGTATCAGGAGCTATAAAAAAGCTAATTGAGATGGTTTTCAGAATATATTATCTCTGTCAGGTTCTTTTGTAAAATTTCTGTCATATTTTGTGAAGAATATTTGTAAGATAAGATTTTTCTTTGTTTGAAATATTTGTTATTTAATATGTTTTTGTAGAAATAACAGATAGTGGAGATGGGGACCAGTGGAAGAACAGTGAAATAAATCCTAAAGTAAGCTACATTTATTCATTTACTTCTGTAACTGTAAGTGTCTGTACATGATATTTACTTTTAAAAATATTGTTACTTTTACACCCAGGTAAGTTCACTCTAATTATGAATGTTAGTTCACTCATCAAGTTTATTATCAAATATTCATATTAAATAGAAACGTAAAATCCAATTTTAGGACTTATTGTAAACATGAAAGCCTAAATTTTAAAATTATGTTAAATTTTAACTTTTTGTAGTAGGTAACCTGTAACAGCGGTTCACAATATATATGGCTGAAATATTATTTTAAAATGTAAATCATCATTGTTAAGATTATTGTGTTACAGAGTATTAATTTATCTAGGGCAGAATCTTTGTATACAGTTGATGAAAACATTTGAAATTAATTGTAAGTGCTCATGCAACTTAACATTGATAACTATTTGTTTGTAGCCACTGCCATTGGCAAATACTGAGGGACAAAAACTATGCCTCAGATTCTAGTGTTGTGGATAGAGTTGGGTGATTAGTGGTATATATTAACTGATTAATCTATGGGATCATTAATTGATTTGATTAATTTATCAGTACACCATGCCCCATACAACTCATACAAGCTAGAAAAAGAAAAATATGGGTATGTGGTTATCATTTTAACTTTTTCAACCACTGCATTATTCTAAATTGGTATTAATTTTCCTATTTTCTTTTGCATTCTTTTGGTTTTTAAGTAATTTTTTAATTATCCTTGATTTCATATGATTGACCACTTTTGAAGGTGCCCCCTTTGGCGTATTTGCACAAAACATTTTTAGTCAAAGAAATATTTTCCCGAGATTGTCATTTTAATCTTTCAATTATGCAGAAATCTCACACAGATCTTCTGTAAATCAAATAAATTGATAATTAAATAATGAAAATATATTTTACTTTCTCAATAAGAGTAATAATGTTTTTATTTAAAGCATATCACAATTACAAATAATTAAGTAGCCAGTTAAACATTCTAACTTATTTATGTATTCTGTTTGAATAGGAACAACATAGAAATGATATTCAATAAAGATTTGAGTTATGACAATATTTTACAATCGTCTGCCATACTCACAAAACAGTAAACTTATATGATGATTATTTTATTTGTTGAACAAAATAAAAAAAAACTCATGTTTAGAAACATTGCCATTCAATAAAACATGCATTATACCAAATAAAAAACACACCAGAATTTCAAATAGAGAACCAGACTGTTTATGTATTCCTGTGTCTAAGTACATTGTACATTTGTTACTGTGTTAAACTTTTAATAAGATTTTTTATGTTAACCATTCAATCTATCTAAACTGTATAAGCTAACCTACTTTATTTCAAGTTATTTGACATCTTCTCATTGAAGACAGTTTGTGTAACTTTCAAACAGATATAACTTAACACAAATACTTTCACAATTCTCAATGAAACGAAAGTTTCCAGAAACAGAAAAAAACTTTTAAACCTATATACTATATACTATTAATACTGACAGTCTAATTTTTGCTCTGTCTAAGTTTCCTTTATAGCTGTTTTCAAAGCTGTGTTTCATTAGTAAGTAATTTAACCACTTGATGTGACAGCATAGCAATGTTCCAACCAAGACCTGAACAAAAAATAATATAAATGCTGATAAATCAAGAAATGGATATATTTTAAAGGGGCAATAGGTTTTTTTGAAAAAGTAACATTATTCTTTAGGAGGAGCAGAAAAATTCTAAAAATAATCAATATGTAGGTTGTTTTGTTTACAAGCGAAACTCTTTGTAGCTCTGCAGAAATGAAAATATTATCATTCTTCTTCATTAAATACACTAAATAAGTGTCAGAATATAGCAAAATACCGATTTTAAAATATTTTTGAGTAAAAATGTTTAAATACTTAGAATTAACATATAAAATTGTCTTGTACATTTCTGGAGAAAGTATATGAAAAGTTAGAGGAAATTCTATCTTCAGGTACAATAATTTAGAAGTTATTTTGTTCATTTGAAACTGTTTTACGTGAAAATGTATCATACATGCAAAGTAGTACTAAATCTGTAACTACCTGAAAAACAATACATTTTATTGCATTCCACAGATTTCTTTCTACAAATTTCCACATGGTTACTGTACTGAAACTATTGAAGTTTTGTTGATGAAAATAAACATATTACTTTCTGATGTTTTCAAACAACAAATTATTATATAACTTTAATAAAATTTATCACCCTAAAAACATCAACAATAATATATTTAAAGTGACTAATTTTGACTATAGGCCTACATCATGTGTAAGTTAGTTGAATACTTCTTTCATTGTTGGAAATAAAATTTCTCAAAACATGCTAAAACCAATGCATGATATTTGATGAACAATACTGATGTTCATTAAAATAAAATAATCTCAAAGCTCTCTATATGGAGTATTTATGTTAAATATTTTTAAAACGTATGATTCCTGCCTGTTTCAAATTATATTAAACGTTGTTACAGATCTATACTCTGAGAAACTGTTAATCAAAATAGGCAATCCAGGATGTTGTGGAGGGGGCGGTGCAACTATACCTCTACTAGCACTACTTATAAACATATATTCCTTTTGTTGTTTTTTTTTTACTTGTAACTTTAATAATAAAATCAGTTAGAAAGCCTGCAAAATCATTGAGTAGTTCAGTTAGGTTATAATCCAATAATTTTAAAGTGTACAGTAATGTGATTGATAAGAAAATAAAACCATTACAGACAGACATTTCAAATTTTGTAATCTAAATTAAATAGGCATAATTATATTTAGAAAAATATTTATAGATTATACACCTAAATTCAAATTTAATGTTTGTTAACAGGAAGCCTGGTTTTAGTTTTTTAAAGTCATCACTTATATATCATAACACTTGCGTTTTCACTTATTTTAGACATGAACAATGTGGAAACATCTTTCTTGTGAGTGTTATAATTTTCAACCAATTTTTGTATCAATTATATGTTATAAAAGCTTCAGATGTCCTAAGCAATACTGATTAGAGCACACATTGCTAGTGTGTGGAAAAAGCTAAGGCATGAAATTTACCATGGCAGCGCTTAATTGATGTTCATATTGTTGTCTTTGTTTAGAAATAATTACTTATTGGCTGAGGCCGTAATTGGATTACTGGAGAGACTAGCTATGTTGACTTTAGAATATGTGAAAATGTTTTTACAGTAATTAACAGACCAGTCAAGTATAATATTTATTTTTGATACTATATGGCTGTATTGTTATTAATTTGTGAAAAAAAATGGAGAAGCTTGGACCCCCCACTAGATCTTTGTCTGCTTGCACAACATTAAATAATAGTTATTAATTTCTGAACAAAACATGTATGGGTTTGCCCCCTGAACCCCCTCTACTAAATCCATGGCTGCTTATACAACGTTAAAGAATACAGTTATTAATTTCTGGAAAATAGACGCGAACCTGGACCCCCTGAACCCCTCTCCCAGATCTAGGCCTACTTATACAACATAATATAGTTATGCAATTATAAATCAGAAACACAATACTGTTTGAAAAAAACAATAAGTTTACACTTTATCTAATACTTAAGTAGCCAGAAATTGGTAGTATGTGCTACCAGCCAGTTGTCCTTACCTCCAGTAAATACTTCAAAATTAGTGACAGTGGCAGATATCCTTAGTAGCTTTGCATTAACAAAGGCAGTTGATTTGATTGTAATTTCAATTAAATGATTATTGAAATAATCAAAAATGATAATAATAGGAAACACTAATTTTAATTAGTTGATTATTTTCGTGACATTAATTTATCAACTCTAATTTTGATTAATCAAACAGTTTATGGGAAACTAACTGATGTAATTGTTGCTCTTATTATATCGGTTAAATTACCCATCTCTAGTTGTGGATCCTTATAAGGGTGACTGTCATATTCCACTACTCAGTTTGAGTAGCCCAAGAATTAGTGGTGGGTCTATTGATTAACTTCCAGATAACCCACGTGTAACTTTACTTGAATACCTGAAACAAACAAATTCTAACACCATATTTTTCTTTTGTGCAGCACAATTTGTCTTTCATTCTTAACCCAAGGCTTCAAGAAGAATTAGCCAAAATGGAAATACAACTTGCTATGGGACCAAACTTGCATAGGCAAACAAGTTTGAATACTGAGAATCAGCGCATACAAGATTTCTTTTTATTAATGGCTGTTTGTAACACAGTTGTGGTGTCTAAACATCCTCACAAAGACCAGGTATGGGTTGTTTTTTAATACTAATATTTTCTGAGTTGTACCGTTGATATATATCATCCATGAAGATAGTGGCTACATTGACTTTCACTTAAAGTGCATAAAGTTTCATATTATCCCCCATTTATCTTGAAACCAAGCAGCAACAAAAAATAATTGTGATTTATGGCAAATTAGGTTGAAAATTTGACTAAACTTTCAGATTTTATCAAGATATAGCCGATAGAAAAAGGAAATTAAAAACATTTTTTTTCACAATCATATTCCTGAAATTTATTTATTTTACACAAACAATTGAAAAGAACTTGATAATGATTTAAAACATAAATTAATGTAATTTCGAGATTCTGAAATTCTTTAAAAATAAATTGCTAAAATTATAGCTGCAAAGTTAATATAAGCTAAAGTTATTTGAAATTTATAAATTATTTCGTTTTTGTCTATTAACTTGAAATAACTGTCATTCTGTTGAGGGTGGACGGAGGAATTTATAGAATTTCTAAGAAAACTTGTATGTATTGTATTCAAGTCTACCAAGAAATTACCCATGATCCATTGAGTGGCACTGAACAACACTCGGGTATTTGTTGAAGGTTTTATTTTTTTGTTATTATTGAGTTATCAAATAAGACATCCATTGTACCATGAACCCTTTTTTATTCCAAATAAACTTTTTTTTTGCTACACACAAACAAAATTTTGCCTTTTTTACACATTATGTATTTTTAAAAAATAGAATACATATATTAGAGAAGAAAATTAAGGTATAAGTTATTTGTATGTTTGTATGATAAAGGTCTAAATGTGATACACACGGAACTTTGTCTTTGATATAATAAGAAACTGAATGATTATCATAAGTTTTAAGAGAGAGAATTTTGTAAAACATTATTCCTAATGCAAAGTGTTTGTAGAGGAGAAGAGATTATTTTTTCTTAACTTTAATTTTAATTCTTTTATACTATTATCATACGTGATATTTTCTTTACTTGTTGGGTACTGTTCTGTTCTGAACAATTCTGTGTCATTTTATATTGTTATTGTGGTTTTCATAATGATCACAGCAATAATATTAATTAGTAATGTAATAGCATTGTCGTATGATAATATTTGTTTGCTTGACTAATACTTTTTGTTATGTATACAGATGAATTCCAGTGGTCTGTGTCTCAATGCATCACATTTCTCGGCACCTTCATTACCAGCTACATTAGGAACGAATACGTGTACTGATAGTAGCCAACAGCCTCGATATACTCGTCTGGTCGATGCTTTAGACACTCCTCCAGGTTCAGGACGCTCAACTCCTCTTCAGCGACCACAGTATCTTCCAATTTCTAACAGCTCTAGGACTGCCACACCTACTCCTACACCAGTTTCACCTGAATTTCATCCAATATATGAGGCAGAAAGCCCTGATGAAATTGCACTTGTAAATGCAGCATATTTTTATAATTGTCAATTATTAAAGAGGACACCTGATTGTGCTGTTATTGCTTTACCAGGTATAGTTTATCATTTTTAAATTAATGTTCTGTTTTTTGTTTTGTGCTACTTGTAAAATGAAAGTAAGAGTGAATGAGTATGATGGTTTACTTATTGAATCGTTTGAATAAATCTGCAAAATGTACACAAAGTTGCTTATATTTCTGTGTTGCAAAGATGAAATAAAATATTAGTTTTCTAATGATGAGTGGTTTAGGCCATGTATGTGTGTGATATATATGAGGAAGTTTGTTTATGAGAAGAAACAGCTTGCAGTAGTGATTGTTGATACATTAAATCAAAAAAGTGGGATTTAAAGCCTTGGCAATCTGTTATAATAATGATCATATTTGGGTTGCATGTTGTTTTTTGTTTATATTATCTTTTATTAATTCTATAATAGTTTAAATCCTTGAAATACCATTCACTGGGAGCAATGGTTGATAAATGTCAAAGTTGCATAAGTTTAGTGCATTGTTGATACTAGTTCACACTGTTGTAAACAGAATACCATGTTTGTATGTATCATATTTGTATAAGTCCACATAGGTGTAAATTATGCAGCTTGTCTTTCTGCTTGCTATTACTGTACTATTATTTATTTTTTTCCTTTTATATATGTCAATACCATGTTTTATTCATTCAACTATGATTGAAAGAAGGTTTTGAGAAAACAAATTTTGTTGTATTTGTAGTTCTATCCAATGAGTTCAACTTTAACTGTTATAATATTATTTTTATTTTTGAATACATTGATTACTTTTTCAACCATCAGCTTTTACCTTCTTTGCATTAATTGTGGGTCTTTTTGTTTCAGCAACAGAACTGCCAAATATCCATATTGTACTAAGAAAGCATTTAACCTGTATTTTTAATTACTTATCAATCTAGATTGAGAGTTGACTCATTAGAGAATTGCAAATTTTTCATGACTTTCGTTTACTCGTTGTCTAAGTTACTTTAATGTGTGATGTGTATACTGTTTGAAAATAATTCTAAAGTGAAATTTTGAATGCATTTTCACATCTTTTAATAATTGCTTAAATAGGGCAATATAAAACTTTGCATTTGGAAAAAAATTTTTTGGTATAGTGAAAAAGTGACAACACTTTATACATTATAATTAGACTTTTCAATTTGATTATTTATTTGTTATTGCCACATGTACATAGCTCTTTTTGTTTATTTCAAATGCCAAATAAAAATATAGCCTTTTAATTTATTTTTGTCACATTTCTTAGGAGAAGGTCTTCTTGAGTTCAAAATTCTTCACGTTCTTCCATTCGATGCGAATCGAAAATGTATGTCAGTAATTTTAGAGCATCCATTCACCAAAGAAAAAGTCCTTTACTGCAAAGGGGCTGATTCAGCTATTTTGCCACTTCTGGCTCCAGTAACTCAGCAAGGTAATTTTTAAGCATATTGTTCACAAACATTAGCTGATCAACTCTGACACCTTTATAAATTAAGTATTTAGAAACTATTGAGTTAAAGAGTATTAAAATGTCATCATTGTCCTTTATCATTTATAAAATAAACACAGATCAATTTTTCTTGTGTAATACACATTTCAAGTAAAGTTGTTCTTTTAACAGCTCTCTGTAGGCTAGTATATTATAACTATTTTTAATGTGATACAAATCTGAATTTTTGGCTTAGTAAATTGAATATTTTTTATGAGAACGTTAATTATTTTTCAGAAACAAAAGAAATCATCACAAAGACACATCAACATTTGAATAACTATAGCAAGAAAGGACTTAGAATTCTTTGTATGGCTAAAAAGGTTTGGAGTGTATTGAATTATTTAATAAATATATCTTTCTTTTGGTCTAATATATATATAATAGTGATTTATTTGTGCATTATAATATTAATTTATCTGTAAGTTTTATAATGAAACAAGCAGTGTTTGTGCATGAGTTTTGAGAAGGCTCAGTTAAGAATTTCAGTTGTATGTTAAGTTTTATAAGTTAGGAAAGAAGTGATATGTTGAATAAAGATTACATTTTAGGACTGAGTGCAGAATTTTCTGTGCAATGATTTAGATGGAGGAGTGAAATACTATTTCATAAATCTAAGTTTTAGGTGTAACTGATTCTGTGAGCCATTCTAAGAAAACAATACAGATGGGAAAAAGATAAACTAAGTTGGGAGTTTTTAGGTCAATAAGTAATTTCAGAATATTAGAATAGCTGTTAACTAAAACTGTGTATTTGCTACAGTAAAAGCAATTTGCTAATTTTACATTTAGATTAACATGTGTACAGTGATTTGGTGTTCTTTTGAGTTTATGTTAAAGGTGTATGTTTAATGTTATGTTATTTTAGCATGTGAAATAATAAAGGTAAGGAGATTGGGAGGGTATATTTAAACTTTATTCATCATATTGCCTTTAGCTGGCACTAAGATGTTTGCTCAACTGAACCTAACTTGTGCTTGTATTTGCTACACTACTTACTTTAGGCCAAATTTAAGTAGTTTGTAAAATCTTTAGAACCTAAAGTTGTTTAATCAAACCATGTAAAATGTATGACATTTATTCTCTTATAAACAAACATTGCATGCATACAAAAAAAAAATCTGTTATAACAATCATCTCTTCCTGTAACAGGTACTTTCCCCAGAGGAATATGAAGAATGGGTGGGCTTGCACAAGGAAGCAGAAATGGCTCTTGATGACCGAGAGCAGCAAATTCATGATTCAGCTTGCTATATTGAGCAAAACATGGAGCTTCTGGGAGCCACTGGAATTGAGGATCGTCTTCAGGAAGGAGTTCCTGAATGTATAGCATCCCTTCGAGCTGCAGGCATGGTAGTTTGGGTGTTAACAGGAGACAAACAGGTACAGTAGAGAATTGCTGGTTTAATTAACCATATCTGGTACCATAGAGCACCTTCCAGTGTGAGTACCACCCCTTCCTATAAAGTTTTGGAAAACAAGTAAAAAAGAATAGCTCTAACTGTGTTTCAACAATTTTTTTGCTCAAAAATATTTTAGGTTTGATTTTTATCTTGTAATACTTATTGAGTGGGGAATCTGAAAACGAAATTATGTCACTGAAAATCTTTGTTACAAGTTCAATAACTAAACACTGAAGTTTGAAGGTCTACTTGACAAAATGTCCAACTGTCTTTCTAAATCAGACTCGGCTCTGCTGTCAGTGACAAACATGTTTGTGTACGGTAATATTAGTCTCTGTGCCAGTTCCATTGCCTCTATAAGTATGATTGTACATCGTGATGGCGTAGGATTATTATGCAACTATAAACATTGTGGATATTTAGTTAGCAAGTCTGATTCTATGTATGAAGTATCCCGTATTTATAAGTAGAACTTACAATTTAATTAATTGTAAGTATAATTTGGTGATCTCATGAACAAGCAAAATTTGCATAATTGCATAAAAACTTTTGCTAATGTAATCCATCAATAAATATATGGTCATGTTTAATTAATTAATTCAAAGATTTCAACACATTTAATATAGATGAATTATCCACAGTTTCAAGATTTTATGAAAATATTGCAATATGTTCTGGATCATTTGATGATTTTGTTAATGTATGCATTGTTTTTTAGGTACCAGAAATATGTACACACATCAGAAAATATTGCTGTAACTATTTCCATACTATAACTTTTACTATGTTTTATGTATCTTCACAAAATTTAGCAAACTATTTGTAAATATTACAAGTCTTTTGTACACAAAATAAGATTTGTCCTTGAATATATGGATTCAGTGTTGACTGCTTTGAGTGCAAAGGGGTTTTCTTGTTAAGATTAAAAATAATTTTCTTCATCTGAAAGCTGTCAAATTCCATTTGTATAATCTCTAAAACCTCCTAAGTAATTATATATATATTTTTTTTAGTAAAATTTTATTTTTTATCTGTTATTATTCTCTACTCTAACTCTATATGAAAATGGCCAATTTGACCGACCTTTTAACCATCATATAAAAAATATGAAATAAATCTAAATTACCATTTTTTTTCTTTCCTATAATAGACAGCAGATTGTAACAGAAAATTACCATTGTTTATTGTAAATACCTTAAGGCTTATAACAGTCTACATTTTTTCTACTTAATTTGATTATTTTATTGCC